ACTTTTGTTGTGATTTGGCGCTATACAAATAAAATTTGATTTGATTTGATTTGATTTGATCCTGTTCAGCTTGGTCACTGTATACAGCGGAAAATCAGTGTCACACAACAACAGCCTCAGAGTGTAACAGTAGCTGGAGAAGAGGTGAAGGTGTTAATGCGCTGGTTAACCTTCATGAGATGATCACATGAGGCCGTTGTGTGCTCCAGCCTCCAGGGACATTCGCTGATGTTAAGTAGTCATGAATTGTGCTGCTTGTGTCCCCAGCCCCATGAAAAATGACTCCAGCTGCTGCTGCTGAGATGATTATGGGTAAACCAGAACCCATAAATCAGTGATATCACACATCTTCTGCTTACCAGGTGCATTTTTATCTTAACAGTGACATTATTATGACTGCATTAGTGCAAATGCAGGGGGGTTTGGGGCGGGGCTCTTCCTGAAGTCCACTGTTTTGAGTGTGTTCAGCTCCAGGTTGTTGCGGCCACACCACAGGACCAGCTGCTCAACCTCCCGTCTGTAGGCTGACTCGTCACCTACACCTCGACACCAGTCTTTCAAAGCACTTCATAACTACAGATGTCAGGGCGACAGGTCTGTAGTCATTCAGTCCACTGATGGAGGTTTTCTTGGGGACTGGAATGATGGTGGACCGTTTGAAGCAGGAGGAGACTTCACACATCTCCAGTGACCTGTTGAAGATAAGTGTGAAGATGAGGGCCACTGATCAGCACACAATTTCAGGCCGGAGGGGGTCACACCATCTGGGCCTGGTGCCTTTCTGATTTTTTGTCTTTTAAAGAGGCTACGCAAATCCTTTTCACAGATCGTTAGAGGTGGCCTGTAGCTCTGACTTAGCCTCCTCAGTCCAGCTCTTCACTGTTTTGACCACAGGCTTCGCAGCTTTAAGTTTCTGCCTGTAGGTTGGAATAAGATGGGCCATACAGTGATCTAAGAGTGCCATCAGCTGTCCAGAGACAGGAGCGGTGCAGAGAGGAGAGAGGAGCAGTTCCATTCACTGCCCCACAGACCAGAGCCAAAGACCTGAACTAGATAGCTGCAAGTGTAGAAGTCCGGATGATCAGCTGGGATGCCTCCCCAGAGAGGGACGAATGAATCCTTCTCATGTTGTACAGGGGGAAGTTACAACACAGCAGTGGGCTGCTGCTGTATTTGCTGTCAATCCAGCTCAACTGATTTCAAACACAAATCACTGTTTCACTAGATACCATGTAAGGGTGTGGCTGTGTTTAGTTGTGAAGAGTTTCCTAGATGTGCAGCTCTGCTATAGATTTATTAGTTTATATTCAGCAGCAAAAACAGCAGAGAACCAAACCTGACTGAATCATTTGGTTACAGCGACAAAGATGTGCACCTAGAAAACACAACCACTGGTTTGGATGGCATGTGGATCTGCAAAATGCCAATCAGAGGTGGCTCATTCATCAACTAATCACTTGGATTAGATTCAGAAACACTTTAAGTGCTTCCCTGTAGCTTTGATGCTAACAGTAGTAGTGTTTACTACTGGCTGTGTCCCCTCTCAGTGCTGCAGAGCAAGCTGCTGTCCTTGGCAGCAGCAGCACTTTAAGAAGAACGGCTGAATAATTCATTGCTGAAAGCGCAAGAAGGTGGGAAGATGGACAGTCCAGAGAAAAAAGGAAAGACCACTCAGGAAACTAAACGTGTCCTTGAAGTGTCCTTCTGATCCTGTTTGTGTGGCGCTGAGTGGGAACCAAACACCCAGTCTGAATGTTCACCCCCAGCAGGGATCCAATCTTCTCAACAGAAGCTCTGTATTCTGCATCAGCCATGCGCCGTCCTTGGAGGACGAAACCCTGCAGAGTGTCGGTGTGCTGGTAATTAAGCCAAGCTGCTGCTACCTGAGACTTAAAGCCGGCAGGACTCACAGGTTTTACTGAGGAGAACGACACATACTGACACTGACACCAGGCCACAGAGGCTCGAAAACCTCTCCTCAGTCCCCACAGCAGGAACCACAGAGCGTCTGTGCTATTAATCACACAGGCAGTTCTGCTAATGTAACAGCCCTGGCCACCCCTCAGAGGTTGGAGGTCACACGCACAAGATCGGACTGATCCTCATAATATATGTGTGGAGGAGCAACCGTCATGTAGACAGATGTAGTGAAATGGTCAGAAGTGCTGCGCCCCTGACCCTGAGCTCAGCAATGATGCTAGTAACACAGTGTTTCATCATCATAACAATCATAATCTTTATTGCCAAGTATGTTCAAATACAAGGAATCCGGCTCAATTTAAATGGCCCCCGGTGTGCACCAAATAAAATAGAATAAATGTCCTGAAATGACCAATCAGAAAAATCCATGCAACTTCCCTTTAAAGCAGCACCAAGCAACATGAGCAACTTCATAGATCAAACAGAGAACTTCAGGTTTTCTCCTTAGCAGAAATCAGAAGACTCTGCTTAAACAGTTAGTGTTAATCCATCTAAAAATCAGACCAAGCTCAACTGAAGAAAGACATCCCAAAGTGAAAACGTAAAGTCTTTGGATCTGATAGTCAGAAATAATTCACCTTGAGAGGCGGAGTCTGACTCTGTGACCTTAAAGTCCTTTCAGCCATGTTTAAAACTATTTCATCTTTACCTCATCCCTTTAACAGAGTGAGAATCTGCATAAACAGAAATAGCTTGGTCTTGACATCTCAGTACAATACAATTTGTTTTGATGCACAATAAAGTACTGGCTTTGGGGCCCCATGGCGGCCCCATGGCCGGGGCGCTACACACAATTGCAGCGTCCATGCTTCAATTCTGACTGGGTAACATCTGTACCCTCTGCCTCTCTGCAGATGTTTCCTGTCTCAGATGTAGAGAGAGTGACAGGCAGAGGAACAAAGACATGGTACCTGAAGGGAGGTGGGCTGCAGGACACTGGCAAACTGCAAGTGTAGTAAACCTTGTTACCACTGAAATCCACTGAGATTGACACAGCCAGGAACTGATCACTGGCTCTGTTCTCCGTCAGGGAGGAATCTGGAAGGGTGTTGTTGTCGACAAAGGTAAACGGCTCCTTCTCAAAAGACAGATTTGAAACCACAGCACTGATCGATGCTCAAGCATCTGTTCAACTGAGACGATAAACAAGGTTACAACAAGGAGGATGAGCAGAGCACAGACTTCAGTACGTGATGCTACTGTAGCAGTGTCTGTTCTTTGAAAACCACCATGTCATGAAACCACACTCACATAATGGTCCCATAATGATAATAAAGTTAAATGAATTGTTAAATATCTCTAATGAAGACTGGTTGCAGGTGATTCTGATAACAGCCTGAGCTTTGTGGGCACATTTCAAATGTCAGAGTTGGTGATTGGTTCCTGTCACCACACAGATATGATGCCTGTGGGGCGGCTGTGGCTCAGGAGGTAGAGCAGGTTGTCTCCTAACCGGAAGATTAAGAGCTTTGATTCCCGGCTCGTCCAGTCCACATGTTGAAGTGTTCTTGAGCAAGACACTGAACCCCCAGTTGCTCCCGGTGATGACAGCAGTGTGTGAATGTGTGAGTGCAAGTGGGTGAACAGCCAAATAGTATGAAAGCACTTTGAGCGTGTTGCAATGCATAGAAAGGCGCTGTACAAGTATAAGACCATTTACCATGTGTTATCTGCACAGACAGGCCGCCACGAGACAGACCAGGACCATCACTTATCAATAGTTAACAAGCAGAGCAGAGGTCTGTGCTGACAACACATCACTGAGCAGGCTCTCTATGCATGATTAGGAACGTGGTGCATATCTCAGTGCAGAGAGCAGCGTAGCTTTACACTCAACAAAAAGCCTTTACACACAGTCTGAAGATCAGACACCCAGGATCAGCGCCTGGGCCCCCTCTCTGAACCGATTCTGTTGCTGACTGTGTGTTGAGGGCCTGAACAGCCACAGCACCAGCATCCAAACAGCTGCACCCACACACCACCAGTATCAGGGTACGTCACTGTCCTCCAACTATTTCACTGCGGTTTCTACTCTAGCATTGCTACACTGCAGTTACTGTAGCTTGGCTATTTCTACTGTGTCAGGTGGGCACTGCAGGTTCACAGGTGACTGAACCAGGGTTTATTTGCTGTAACGCTGATGTAGTTACTATGTGCAGATAGTGTAGAAAGACATACATTTTAAACCATGGTGGTGTGACTCCACCAACCAGCCACATTCACAGGGAAGATGTGAGAATACGGTGACCTTTGACCACCATAATCTAATCAGTTAATCCTCGAGTCCAAGTGGATGTTTTTGCCATGTTTAAAGATTTTCCCTCAAGACCTTCATGAGCTGTCATGTTAATGAAGCTCGCCAGCACAAGGAATGAATATCTGCAATCAAAATTTAAAAACCTGTCTGATACCAGTGCTCATTCCTGACGATACAGCTAACAAATGACACAGCACCAAGTAATGTCCAGTAACTGTCCAGTCACCCTTCTCCTTATCTTTGTTGTCTGTGACTCCAGGCGTGTGCTGGTGATGCATCACGCCGCCCACGTCGGGCTCCTGCCGTACATACTGCTCTGTGCTAAAAACAGAAGTACATCTATTCACTGACCCAGTGTACAACATCAGCACTGCTGCACCACCACAGCATGTCCTGTACGCCATAGCACAATACTTCTGTGCATTTGCATTTAAAATTATAGCTTTAACATCCAGATTTATTTGGTCATATCTGAATAAATAAATCTGGATTCCCAGACAAAAGACACATTGTAAAACACTTCTGGACAAGTCATTTCTTATGCAACTGACAGCTAAAAACATCCAATTCTCGGGATGCTAGGAGCCACGCAGTCCAAATATAGAGCGCAGGATGATAAGAGAGCAGTGGAGCTGTCAGGAGGAGGAATGGTCCAAAGCCAAACTGCTCTCTAAAGTACTCAGAGCAGGATGGAGGGAGGAGCAGAGGATGGAGCTGTGACCTCCGAGCTTTGAGGGTGTCAGCTCAGAGGAAAGTAAAGAGCAAAATGAGACTTCAGCAGAGTTTCACGGAGAGATGAACAAGCTTCAAAACATTTGGACCCGAGTCCTCAGAGAGCCTCAGAGAAGAGTCTGGCACAGAATCTGTTTCTGAGCACTCTGGGAGAGCAGTGCAAGAAGAAAGAAAACATGACGAGCAAAGCTCACACAGGGGCCACAGGCAGAGCAGAACGAGCTCTGCTCATTGATTTTTCTTTTTAATGCCTGTGCAGTGTTGCCCTCGTAGCCGCAGTTTGTAGGGCAGAAGTAGCTAAACCTCTGTCGTCTCCATGTCGTTGTTCACACCTTCACCTGTTTTATTTTGTGTTAAATGTTTGACAAAAGTGATGACAGTTAAGGCTGAAGCACCAATGATGCACCACAACATCTCCAGCTCATGTCCAGACAAGGACCTCTGTTACATATCATCACATCACAGCTCTGCTGCTGGTTATCCAAAAAGAGTAGGCATAAAATGAAAACTGCCTCTTGGGACTGGGACTTAAATGTAGTTTTAGTACAGACTGAAGTGTGTCTTGTTGCACTGATACTGAAAAGTGTCCAGAAAATCTGATCAAAGTTAATATGTAGACACTTTGGATGATAATTAGTAGGAATGCTGCCCACTTTTTATTTCATTTAAAAAGCTTATTAACTGCCTGGAATTTAAAATGTTGGTTGATATTACACAGTTTTCCACAATAACAAATCAATATATGTAAAATCTTAGGTAAAATAATCCATAACATAAGTAGGAATGTGCCTATGAGGGTTTAACGACCTTTGGGCTGTTTCTCTGCATGTAGTTTCCATAATCAGGTGGGAAATCAGCAGAAACTAAATGCTAGGAGATGTCAGTGTCTTGTGGGTAAACTGTGACAGGAAACAGAGTTAACCATCAGATTATTTCATTTCACAATGGCATGCAGACTAACACTTTGAAAGGGGCGGTTTTCTCAAGAAACACCTCTGACATGGTTTCAGTGTTCCCACCATCAGCACCGTGTCACCCAGGCTTATCTGATTACAGCTGGGACAAAGGGTCCCAATCAGGCTGTTCGCCCCCATCATAAATGCTATAGCATCCAACACAGTCACCTCCATGTTATTTCTTGAAGTTTCACATGAGCGGGGGGACATCAGGGTCGTCCACAAACCCTGCAGAGGAGCCACTGTGACCAGCAGGTGTAGGTGGAGCCATCCTGGACACTTCCAGGGGACCGGCTTTGGCACTCTGGTGTGGCACGATCTTGGTGAGGTCGATGGCTGTGTGCTTGCTGGGGTCCACTTCCAGCCTCTCGGGAGCATTCTTGTTTCTGTGAAAATATCAGAGATGCAGTCTGAATAGTTCTTTATCTGTCTATAAAGAACCACAGCAGCTCTGTGGAAAGTCTGACGCTCAGATCGTGTTTGGAGTTAAAACTCTTTAGGATCCAAAGACCTGTAATGAAACGTCTTGATGCAGACATTTCTTTGCAGCTGTGATGGATCCTGAGCTCCATTAAATTCATCTCCACAAGGACAATGGTGCATTTTACCAAATGAAACCAAACTGATTACTCTTGTCTGAAATCACTTTCACAAAAATTGACTCCTTTTATTTTAGACTATGTACAAGTACATTTGCTTCTGAGATGTAGTAGAAAAGTATCAAAATAAAATACTCTTACTTTTAATTGATCACCTAAAACAAGAAAACTAACTAAAAATGAGTAAATAAGGTGAATGTAACTGATTAACGATTTATTGCCATACCCAAACACATGTCGACTTTTGACCTTTCCACAGTAATGATCTCACGGCCTCCTTTAGTGTTTGCTGCGCGGTATCCATTTGCACCATAGGTGGGATAGCGTTAATGAAACATGCAGATTTCCCCAGAAGCACGGCAACCATAATTAAATCTGCTGCACACCAGCAGGGCACAGGAGCCGGAGCCACACTGCCACTTGTTTATTGAGAGAGGAATAAAGCTGCCAGGGGACATTAGCTGTACGCTAAACACAAAGGTACTTTCAGCCCGCTCTTCATTCACTGTAGCAGGAAAGTTACCTGCTTGACTACAGACAATGGAAAATAATAGCAGTGTTTCAGCTGATCTGAGCTGAGGATGTCAAATAACGCCATCTGTAATGGCATGAGTAGGACTCTTACTTCCTGAAATGACCAAGTGGCAGCTCCAGCTCTAGCAGCAGTGCACAATGACAGAGTAGAGAACACTAATGTAAGAGCTGGTCTCATGGATAACTGTGAGGTTATCGGCCCCAAGTCAGTGATGGGGATGTAACCGAGCTGTAACAACATCAGCTGCGCCTGTTTAGCGTCCGCAGGCTCAGGTCCACAGATGATTAAGTTTGGAGTGGATGTGATGTCACAGGTCTGATCCTAATCCCATCTGCTCACATTAAGATAAGAACCAGAATAAACAAGGCAAATGGACTCAGAAAGGCTTGATGTCATGTTCTGCATGGCCCAAGGGAGACGAGAATCCGATGTCATGATACTGAACCACTTCCCGTTTATCAGCAGCTCCCACCCACTGTCAAGGGAATGTCTGTGATGTGCACTTTTATAGCAAAATCAGAGTAACCAAAGTAAACTCTGAGTCAGGTTGTCTGCTGTCTGGCTTTAGGGTCAAGGCTCAACAAACTTTCAACGAGAAGGTCGGTGGTTCAATTCCCATTCTCCCCAGTCCACGTGTTGAAGTGTCCTTGGGCAAGACATTGAAATGCAAGTTGCTCCTGATGGCCAGAGCAGCGCCACCATCGGTGTGTGAGTTGACGCCACAGATGGCTGCCTCGGTTCTGTAACAGCTTCACAGATTCCCCAGCCTCCGATTTCTGATGAAACTCCAGCTGCTCTCAAACCTGGAGGAGACTCAGTTTCAACAAAACAGCAAGATGAGCAGAAAACCAATCCTAGAAATCAGCACGTAATTTCAGTGGTTAGTACTGTCGCCCTCACAGCAAGAAGGTTCTGGGTTCGAGCCCCGGCTGACCCGGGGCCTTTCTGTGTGGATTATTATTCCATCTCCTGAACAGAATTCCTCATAAGACCACACATTTGCAGATCAAGGTCAAAGTGTTTATTTGTCATATGCACAGTTAGGAAACGTGTTTCCCTGTACAATGAAATTCTTACTTTGCCGTCCACATGAATGCCACAAAATACCAATGAAATATATAGTAGATAAATAAGTAACACAAAATCTAAGGCACTTTAAGCAGCAAAAGCAGCAATATAATAAAAATATATAAGAATATAATAAGAGAATGTATGCTGCATGGGAGCAGCATGTGCAGCAGTCAACAGTCAATGTGCAATGTAAACAGTACAGGTCGACAGTACATGACATATTCTTGGTAGTAAACTCCTCAGCTGTTTAGGAGTCTGATGGCAGAGGGAAGGAAAGAGTTTTTCAGTCTGGAGG